GTGAACCATGGTAGATGGTGGGGCTTGTGGGGAAACGTACCTTGGGGTGTGGGCCCTAGGGATATTCCTCTCCTGGATCCTGCAGGGAATACAACCAGGAGGAGGTCCTCTGGGGCCAAACTCTTCTGTCCAGGACTTGCTTGCAGACAAGGGAAGCCAGACAGGGAAGTTTAATTGTGTAGAGTGAGGGGTGAAAAGGAAGGGAGCAAAGCACAGTAATTTTTCAGTTTTGAAAAATTCATGGCCAACGAAGAGCAAATATTTGAGTTCAGTTCCTCTACATCCATCCTGGCCAACAGATGTCAGCACCCAACATATCTAAAAGGCAGGTTGAATGGGAGCTGACAGGTACTTCTTTTTTTAAATATTTTTTTTTGACAACAAACATAAACATAAAACAACAGATAAAACCATCTTTCCATTGTACAGTGTGTTGGTTGGTGCATACCTTTTGTGTACAATATCAACAGTCAATTATAAATTTTACATCATTCTTTTCGAGCAAATCTCAACTATTATATGACCTAATACGTAATATCATTCATTCCATTATAATCAATTATAACATATCTTTACTATTATGTTATATTTATATTATAATATATTTTATTTCCTTATTTTCTTGTCTAGCCATTGGTAAAATAAATCCCAAATTTTGTCATATTCTTTATCTTCTTTCTCTCTGATTGCTAATGTCAATTTACTCATTTCTGCACATTCCATTATGTTCTTAATCACCGCCTCTTCTATTGGAATTTTTTCCACTTTTCCAATTTTTGGCAAATACAATTCTAGCTGCTGTTAACACATTTATAATTAAATATGACAATTCTCTATTTTATCCTTCAGGTAAGATGCCCAATAAAAAAGAAATCTCTGGTTACAAGTCCATATGCTGTTTTGTCATTTTTTCCAACCACGTATGGATTTTAGTCCAGTATCTCTTGACTTCCACACACATCTACCACATGTGATAATATGAGCGAGGTATCTGATGACGCTTCCAGCATTTCTCCGATTTGTTCTTGAACATCCTTGCTATTCTTGCCGGGGGTAAATGCCACCCTGACAGATACTTCTGGAATGTTTGATGTCCCACCCTGGACAGAGGGAGTCTAGGACAACTCGCCATGGACGATTTGCCATGGCCAACTCTCCACTGTGAACTTACCATGGGTCAAAAGTTACATAATAGCGAAGAAATGGTGGAGTAGAATCATTAAATAAAAAATGCAAAAGGAAGGACAAAATGAAGTGAACAAAAATTTAAATAATTCTTGATTTATTTTAAATAATTAAATAATATGGTACCACAGTGAGTTGTCCCATGGTGAGTTGATTGCAGTGGGTTGTTCCATGGCAAATTGGCCATGGGAAGTTGGCCATGATGAATTGGCAGCGGTGAGTTAACCACAGCAAATGGGCCATTGTTGTGGCTCCGGGCTTGGATTCAGCTCCTGTGACTGATATGAGTTCAAGTGAGGAGGACATGGCAGAAAAATATGAGCCAGCATGGCTCAGTGATTGGACTGGTAACCAGGATGAGGAGATGGACATGACAAAGGACGACAGACCTGATGTATTAGAATTGTCAGGACCTTTGACCTCCTCTGGTTCCTTATCTGATCAACAGCCGGGAATGGCTGACAGGGAAGTTTTGAGAGAGTCTTCTAGTGGAGATGAGAACTTGGAAAATTTGTGGTTAAATGTAAGGAACAGAAGACGGTTGAGAAGGCAAACTCAGCTGGAATGGAGGAGGAGGGCGAGTCAGTAAATGAACACGTTGCCTCAATGAGTATAAAAGGACACAGCTGGGCTGGTACATTTCGCCAGGAACAAAGTGACTTATTGAGTGAGGACGTTACAGCAAGAAGCTCTGAGACTGGAAATTTATTGCCAGGACTGGTTTGCCGGACGGAGTAAAGATTTATGCTGTGGATTGAGATTCCTGCCAGCCGTTATCTTGTAAGACTTCTTTCCGTTTGATTTAATTGTGAAATGGCTGCTTTCTGTTTTGTTCGTTGGAATTTTGAAGGGGAGTCATAACAGGCCATGGTGAGTTGTCCCATTCTGCCTGAGCAGGTCTCCCACCCATGTTCTGCTTTCCTCTCTGTCTTGCAGCCCCAAAGGGTTGGGTGAAGGTTGACATTTCCATTGCTTGTTATGGATGGAGCTGGGTCCTTCTTAGGTCCTGCAGCCTCGTAGAGATGTGCAGTTGTGTAAGGGGCTCCTCCTGTCGCATTCTTTTCACTTGATCAATACAATGAAGCCAGGGAAAACTGAAAACCATCGGGACGGCTTGTCTCTCCTGTCAAGGCCTCTCTTAGGTCCAGTTGCTTATTTCTTTTGCTTCCAAATGAGAGAAAAACCTGGAATCTGTGGGGTATTGTCTGCCCCCAGCAGCCTTTGAACCCATGAGAACTTCCATGACATCAAACAGATCTTTTCTGAAAACGTTACGGGAATCTAAAGGAAATAGGGGGGTTTGGGTTGCCAGATTGGGAGATCTATTAACAGGCTTCTGCATTTACTTGGGTGAGAGAATGGATAAACCTGAGGCACAGAAAGATAATATTGCTGGAGGGACATGATCTTCAGTTGGGATCAGAGGTTGTTGTGGTTCGCCGGCAGCCGGTGTGGATGGCAGAGGTATCAGACAGTGGGGAAGAACAGGAACCAGTCCAGGAGTCTGGAGAGGACTCGGACGAGGGTCCTGACCAGTCCGATGCAGAGATGGGGCCAGGGCAATCTGGAAGTGGAGTGCTGCCTTCAGAGCCTCCAGAATCTGGCAGCAGTGAGGCAGAGGACCCAGGGGAGCCTGTTCCCAGTGTGCGTGTGTGCAGAGCTGCTAGAAGGCGAGAGCAGCTGAAGCAGAAGGGGCGACTCGGGAGTCGGGAGTAAGGCTGGGAGGTGATTGCCCCTCCCATCAGGGATAAAAGTCCGTTCTCAATGACGAAGAGCTGTGCAGGAAGCAAAGCAGTTCAGTAATCTCCGAGTCCTCCTTGAAGCTCTGTACTCTGGTCAGTTTTTTTTCTAGGTTCTTGGTTTGGTTGATGTTAGCCTTAATTGGGCAGCATTCCACAGCGCTGAAAAAGGTGCTCTTATCTGGAGGAACTTTGTCTAATGAGTTTTGCCTGGGAATGCAAGTAATTCCCAGCGTCACATTAAAAAAGGTTTTACTTTTAAATTCAGTTTGTGTTTTCTTAAGTTCAACGAAGCCTGGGTCAGAACAGAGGCGGTATTCAGCCAGTTCGGACTGGTTCTGGCATACCGATAGCGGAAAGTTTGACTAGTTCGGAGAACTGGCAAATACCACCTCTGACTGGCCCCGCCCACCCACGCTTGGCCTTTCCTGTCCTATGTTCCCTTGTTTTTTTTAGCTCACCTGATTTGCAGAGCAGAAGGTCTCAGCTGAGCTATAAAACAGCTCACCTAGTGCTGACACAGAGGGAGGTTTTCGAGTGCTCCACGCCTGAAGCACACTCCCATGATAGAACCAGTAGGAAAAAAAATTGGAAACCCACCACTGATTGGGAAGGCATGCTTTTCTGTGGTACGGGGCAAAATAAAATACACAGGTGTTTTCAAAGACACTATGTCAGAAACACTTTACTCCTAATATGGGAAAAAGTCCAGCAAAAAATTAAATGAAAATACCAGTCTGGAAGCACTTACACATCCAAATGGTATGAATCTGGGAAAAAAATTGTAACATATAAAGACAAACAAGTCTTTTCATTTAGAAAACGGGATTTCGTCTCAGGCTTATGATTAAAAACTCAATGGTGCCTAAGATGGCTATTAACCTACTAGGAAATCGATCAAGTTCTCAGGGATTTCTTTTCCATCTCTTAAAATAACCTCTCTTAAAATAATAGTCTTTCAAAACTAGATTTGATTTCCATACCTATTAATTAGACCACTGATATCAAAATTAAAATTTGCTTCAAAACACACGCACTTAAAAAAAAAGCTTTTCTAGGGTGTTTTTCCAATGGTGCACTATTATAACATTTTTTTTTATCCTCGTTAAAACCTATTAGTCTCTGCGTGGTGTGAGCTGAGATATAACAAGGTTTCGGCTTTAAAATGTGAAGCAGTCTTCTCATACGTAGTTATAAAACTTTCTGCCTCACCAATGGTTAACGACAGGGGTGTGATTCTACTGGTTCAGACCGGTTCTATAGAACTGGTTGTTATTATTCTGCGCAGTTCGGAGAACCAGTAAATCGTGGCCCTGGCTGGCCCTGCTCTGCCCCTCTCCGCCCGCCCCTCCCTGCCCAGTCAGTCCTTACAGCACATGCGCAACATCACGTGCCTGCCCGACATCGCTGTGTTCTTCTCTGCCTAGTCACCAAGGTATTTCTTTTCTCCCCTCCTGATGATCAGCTGTTCCTATGCTCAGCTGGGCTGGGATTCCCCTCCCTGTCTTACTGCTATGCAGTAAGCCTCCGGAGGCTTCCCTGAGGTCCAGAAGGCTCAAAAATGGGGAGGGGTATGCTGCAAAAAAGGAAGAAGAAGCCACACCCACCCAGGCACATAGCCACACCCACATAGCCATGCCCACCCAGCCACACCCACAAACCATCTCACTCCATTACACAGCACTAGGGATTCAAACCACCAAACTGCCGACCTGAGCCACTGATCCACCACGTCCCTGTGTAACTAAGTAGTTTACAGCACAGCAAAGCTAGAATTAAAAGTTTGTGCGTGAAGGTTCTCCAGTTAACTTTCTTTTTCCCATTCCTTCCCCCTGTTATCTCTTCATTCTTCAGTTACATTCAAAGAATGCGCTAGGGATTCGAACCACCAAACTGCCGACCTTTCTGATTGACAAGCTCAATGTCTTAGCCATTGAGCCACCGCGTCCCTCTAATGTGCCAATATGACAACTCTAATAACATGGTACTTTGAGGAATTGTTTGTCTTGGAGTTTATTGGTTTGGAGTTGGTGAGTTGGAATGCTGACATGGTCTTTAGAACTTCCAAGAAGAATCCTATATTCTCCTGTGACTTTCCAGGACCTTCCTCAGGGCCCCCTTCACCTCCTTGTTGCGTAGGCTGTAGATCAGGGGGTTCACCATGGGGGTGACAATGCAATACATAGTAGAAATCAGGGTGTCGGTCTCCAGGGAGTAGCCAGCACTGGGCTGGTTGTAGTTAACAGACCCATTCCCGAAGTAAAGAAGGACCACTGTCAGATGAGAAATACAGGTGGAAAAAGCCTTGTGCCTTCCTGTGTTGGAACGGATACGCAGGATGGAGGCAAGGATGTAGAAGTAGGAGATGACCACCAAAAGGAAGGGACCCAATCCCACAAACACAGTGGCAATGTGGATTGTTATCTCACTGACAAATTTGTCACCACAGGCGATTTTCAGCAGAGGGGGTAGATCGCAGAAGATGTGGTGGATCTGATTATGTCCACAGAAATAGAAGTTGGAAGCCAAGGCTGTGTGAACTGTTGCATCCAGGAATCCCCAGATCCAGGCCATAGTGGCTGCTGTCACACAAACACGTGGACTCATGAGGTGTGAGTAGCGCAAAGGCTGACAGATGGCAGCGTAGCGGTCATAAGCCATGATGGCCAGCAACCAGCATTCTGAGCCCGTGAACCCTATCAAGAAGAACATCTGGGCCAAGCAATGGTTGAAGGAAATGGTGTGCCTTTGCAGAAGGAGGTTTGCTAGGATCTTGGGGACAGTGACCGTTGAGTAGCAGACATCCAAGCAGGATAAGTGGCTGAGGAAGAAATACATGGGACTGTGAAGGTGGGAGTCCACCAGGATGAGAGCAATGATCATGAAGTTACCCAGAATGGTGACCAAATAGATGGTGAGGAACAGCAGGGCGAGATAGGCCTGGCCGTGTGTGATGTTGGAGAAACCTAGAAAAACAAACTCACTAACAAGAGTGTAGTTGCTGAAATCCATGGGAATGCAGGGATTGTGTGTCACAAAGATCTTAAGGATGACACCAAATGAGATTTCTTTTTCCTTTTTTCGATATAAATGCCTCTCGCACAATATTAGATCTGGAATCTTCAGGTTTTGTAAGAAAATACAAACGCCGAGATGTCCACCTCTATGACTTTTGCTTCTGTCCGTTGAAGGCTTTCCACTTTCAGAGCAGCTGTTGGGATGTTTCAGAGTCCAGCTCACGCCGAAACCAGAGACATGATTGTCTTTCTCACAGCTTTGGAAATGATCCGTCGTTTGATAAAAGTCCATGAGTCGAGGCAGTGAGACCTAGCAGGAGAAAGAAATGGAAGGAGGAGTATTAAAACAATCTAACGACCATTGGTTAGGAAGCATGTTAAGATCTACCTCATGACCATGTTAAGAACGAAGAAGCAGTGGAGAACTTTGTTGTTGAAATCCTTATTCTCCATTTAACATGTTTATTTTCTAAAGCACTCGAAGGCCAGACAAGGGATAATGGATGGAATCTGATCCAGGAGAGATTCAACCTGGAAATAAGGAGAAACTTTCCGACAGGGAGAACTATCAACCCATAGAACAGAAGTTGTGGGAGCTTCATCCCTGGAGGCTTTCAAGAAGAGACTGAACCGCCATCGGTCAGAAATGGTGTAGGGTCTCCTGCTTGGGCAGCGGGTTGGACTAGATGACCTACAACGTCCCTTCCAACACTGTTAATCTAATCTATAATTTAAAATACAAAATGAATAAGAAAACGTTGGAGAGGAAGCCGGAGGAAGAAAAGTGAGGAAGAGTAGGGGAAAAAAGAAAGAAAAAGAAACATTGATTTCCGACTGTCTCTGTTGCGGTAAAATAAAGGATTAACATCAAATCACAACTTGTTTTTTTTTTCATAATGTGAACAAACCACTTCTATAAAGATCTATCAATCTGTTAAGTAAATCCCAAGATCAAAGTTTTATTCTTTACCACTTCAAGCACAACGATCAGAAGAGGTTTCCATGTGGAAACTAAAATACTTCCAGTCTTTTCTTTGATCAAAACAGACAATTTTGCCATTTCAGAACAAACTCCATCACCTTTCTTTCGTGATAGGAATAGAAGTGTCCTTCCAACAAATGGTCAAAATTGGGAGCGTCCTATCAAATTCTGTACCTGTCAACAGTGGTGTCCCCCAAGGCAGTGTTCTAGGACCAACTCTCTTCATACTCTACATAAATGGCCTCTGTGATCATATCAAGAGCAACCGCGTTCTCTTCGCTGACGATGTAAAGCTATGTTCAGAACCAAAGAAGCTTCTTGGATGAGAACATAGAATAATGCAGTTGGAAGGGACCTTGGAGGTCTTCTAGTCCCACCCCTGATTGAGTGGGAGACCATATACCATTTCAGATAAATGGTTGCCTAGTCTCTTTTTGGAAAAACCTCCAGGGATGGATCGCCCACAACTTCTGAGGGCAAGCTGTTCTGTTGGTTGGTGGATTGCTCCCACGGTTAGGAAATTTCTCCTTAATTCTAGGTTGATCAGCTTAGCAAGCTTCTCATCTTACTTTTTGGCGTTTTGGAAAATAATTCGATCCTCTCTTCTTTGTAGGAGCCCCTCAAATACTGGAAGACTGCTCTCGTGTTTCCCCTAGTCTTTCTTTTCATTAGACTAACCATATCCAATTTCCGTAACTGTTTTTTGGGGGGTATATTTTAGCCTCCAGTCCCCTGATCATCTTGGTGGCTCCCTTCTCTGCACAAAAGTGAAATGTTTTCAAGGAAAAAAAAACCCCAAGGAAGTCCAGTTGTCTTTTGGGAAAGCACCTTAGGGACACCATGAACTGAATGACTGGGAAAAATAAGGATTTACATTTAGGCAGGGAAAAACCAAAGGCATAGGTAGAGAATAGGTGGTACCTGGCTCAATAGTAGTTACTGTGAGAGGGATATTAGTGGACAATCGCTTAAAGATGAGCCAGACGTGTGCAGCAGCTGCCAAAAAAGCCAACAGAATCCTAGGCTGAATTAACAGAAGGATAGAATCAAGATCCTGTGAAGTGTTAATACCACTTTATAACGCCTAGGTTAAGACCGTACTTGGAATACTGAACCCAGTTTTGGTCACCACGATCTAAAAAAGATGTTAAGAAAGAGTGCAGAGAAGAGCAACAAAGATGTTTAGGGGACTGGAGGCTAAAATATATAAAGAACGGTTGCAGGAACTGGGTAGGTCCAGTTTGATTAAAAGAAGGACCAAGGGTGATACGTGTTGCAATATTTGAGGGGCTGCCACAAAGACAGGGAGTTAAGCTACTCTCAAAACACCTGAAGACAAAACAAGAAGCAATGGATGGAAGCTAATCAAGGAGAGAACTAACCAAGTACAACCTAGAACAATTAACCAGTGGAACTGCTTACCTCCAGAAGTTGTGGAGGTTTTAAAGAAGAGAGTGGACCACCATTTGTCTGAAATGGCGTGAGGTGTCCTTCCTGAGCAGAGAATTGGACTACTGGAAGATCTCCAAGGCCCCTTCCAACTCTCTAGAAAGAACCCAAAAAGAATGCTAGGTGAATTCTTTTGCTAAAGCAACTCACCTTTGCTGCACAAGACCAACAGCGGATGAAGCAGAATCACATCTCTCCCTGTTCTCCCACAGTTGTATTTTCACACAATGAGATGTGACGTGACTTAGTCAAAACTCTGCCCACCGAGAAGGAAGGGAGATGACTAGAAGGTCATTCTCACAACAGAAGCGCCACTCCTGGTTCCTGCACTGTGCAAGGCAGGTGGTGGTGGTCCTGGAAGAAAATGTGCCGTGGTGTGTGCACCCTGGGAATATTCCTGCCTGGGACTCTACAGGGAGTAGAGAGCTGAGAGGAGAAACAGCAGGCATCCTCTGGGGCAAAATTATCTCATGTAGAACTTACCAACCAGGTCTAGCTAGACTCCAGGCATTCATTCATTCATTCATTCATTCATTCATTCATTCACTCACTCATTAATTAATTGATTGATTGATTGATTGATTGATTCATTTGATTACTGTAGCCACCCAACTCAACCAAGTGACTCTGGTGTCATAACACAATGAAAACAGTTTTTAAAAACCATTCAAACAATTAAAAAAACCCACAAAATAAATATATGGTTGATGCAGTACCGGAGTCCTCAGAGTCTGGCCAGATTCTGTCTATAAGTGCAAAACAATAAAGAACTTGGCTTAAAAGGTTCACCCCTGTCATTCTTGGTATTGGATCTGACCATTGGACTTTATTAGGGCAACCAGAACTTTGAATTGCATCCTGAACAGAGGTGGGATTCAGCCAGTTCGGAGAACCGGTAGCGGAAATTCTGAGTAGTTTGGAGAACCAACTAATCCCACCTCTGACTGGCCCCGCCAACCCCATCTATTCTCTGCTTCCCATTGAGTCCCAGCTGATCGGCTGGGTCTCCTTTGGTTGCCCTGCACAGGAGAACGGAGCTGGAAAGCAGGTTAGTGGGGTGAGGAGGGAAGGGGGACTTTGTAGTAACCCTTCCCATTGCCATGCCCACCAAGCCACACCCACAGAACCAGTACGAATTTTTTTTGACTCCCACCACTGACCCTGAGACCTATCAGCCACCTGTGAGAAGAGAGGCATAACACGGCAGTGCTAAGGATCCGTCTCACTGCATCCTGGACCTTCTGGTGGGCTATGGCTTCAAAGGATACTGAAGCAAACAGATTAGCTAGACCCACTTCAGTTGGGTTTCAAACTAGAGCACCATATAGAGGCAACACTGATCATATTTGTTGGTTATTTCTAGCGGAGTCAGGGGAAAAGTAATTCAACCATCCTGCCCCCCTTTGATCTCCCAGTAGCTCTTTCTGAACTTTGATGAAGACCAAAAATGGAGCTGGTATGTGTTGCATGGTCTTCCTTAATTTACCATGGTTGATTCTAGTTATTGTTAGTGGGGGATTGGCACCCAACTTAAATGTTTACATCAGGGGTGTCCAATCTTGGCCACTTTAGGATCTCACCTTCCAGAAATCTTAAATAAATCTTGAAGGGTCCAAGATTGGATACACCTGGTCTGCCTGAACCCATTGGGTAAGGTTGTTCATTGGTGCAGAGTCAATTTTTGTGGTCCAGAATATGGTGGCAAGAATGGCTTCTGCATTTTTCCCTGAGCCCCACAGGGTCTCCTTCTTCTTCCTAGAATCAGGATCATAGAATTGGAACCAATTTCCCGTTTCTCTTGAATATATTGGGCTACTCAACTGAACCCCAGCCTCAACCAGCCCAACTCAAGGTATATATGGCACCTTTAGGCCCTTGACTGATGGTGCCACCTTCCACCAATGAGGTAAAGATCAGCATTTTTAGAAAGAGTTGGAGGAGGGACGATGTTGGTTTCCTTCAAGCTTTGGTGCCCTAGACTGGGCTACTCAGCCTAAAGTTGACCCTAGTCCCACTCACACCAAAACAGGAAAGGCCTGATGGGAGGAGCTTCAAGTGGGGACAGCTGAAGCTCTATTGCCAGATTTCCCCAAAACCCCAAAACTTTAACCTTAGACTGTCTACTATTGACCTCTTTCCTAAGAGGTCTGTAGGGGGCGTGCATAAGTGCACCAACATGCCTACCGTCCCTGTCCTATTGTTTCTTTTATTTTTCTTACATGTATCCTTGTATTCATAACTATGTTTTTACTTATACCTATTATCTTGTAAGCAATTGACATCAATCAATCAATCAATCAATGTCTGAAGAGGCAGCCTTGGGTCTTCTAGCCTCTAACTCACCTAGTCACAGATGACCTGTTCTGTGCCCTCCAGAAAGGAGCCCCTCTCTGCCACCTGTACAAGGAAATGTCCTTTGGGAGGGCAAAGGGGTATAAGAAATCTCTGGGTAGAGGCCGAAGAGAAGAAGCAGTGATGAAGGACCAGAACCTGATAGGTGGGGAGACAGGGCTGAAGGGATGTTCAATCAGATTCAGGTTAACAGAGTTGGAATGGACCTTGTA